AGGAAAACCCAACCTGGCTAGTACCCAGGTTCAATGGAAAAACCTACTTGTAGGACGAAGCGCGGTCATTATGGGGGTGGCATCAGTACCCTCGGTCTGTCCCTTCTATTCTTGCTTAAGAAAGTAACTCCCGAAAATGAAGAGGTTAGCATATAAATATGCTTTAATGCTTCTTGAACATATAAGGGTAGGTACATGTGCCAAAACTTGCCTAGAGATGACCCTAAATTAGTCTTTTAGATAAAACTTATTTGTCAAATAAGGAAATGAAAAAATTGACATGTGATGACTCAAAAAAGAAGAAGATGTGAGGCGGTGATAATATGTAAATTTTATTTGTTAACAAAACACTAACTTTTTAAATATATTTAATTCAAAATCATTTTAGTCAAACGTGCAAACACATCATAGATGGAAATTATAAAAAACAAGAGTAAATTCCATAAAAGGTCCCCAGTTATAGGTCGATTTATATATTTTGTCCCTACATATCAAATATTACTAATTTAGTCCCCAATTATTATATTCATTTCCACGAATGGTCCTTTGTTAACATTTCCGTTAATAACATGGATAAAATTGTAAATTCACATTCTTTTCTCTCATCAGTTAAGCTTCCTCCCTCTCATTGCACTCCTTTCCCAAACTTGTCGCCGAGTTTGAAGCTTTGAACCCAAAACCAAAATCATCACTCTTCTCTCAATTATTTGTCTAAGTGATGTAACCCAAATTCGAAATCAGTAACCTTCATGGATGAGTTTTAATGTTTATTTCTTTGCAATTTCTTGAGACTAACCGATAAAACCCATCCATAAAGCTTATTGGTTTCGAATTTGGGTTCCACCAGTTAGACAAACAATTGAAAGAGAAGTGATGATTTTGGTTTTGGGTTCAAAGCTTCAAACTCAGCGACGAGTTTGGGAAAGAGTACGAGAGAAGAGAGGAAGCTTAAATTGAAGAGAGAGAGAAGTATGAATATACAATTTTATCCACGTTCTTAACAAAAACGTTAACAAAGACTCATTTGTGGAAATGAATATAATAATTGAGGACTAAATTAGTAATATTTGATATTTAAAAACTAAATATGTAAAACAACCTATAACATTTTGCGATTTGGGGAAGATAGCCTAAATCAAAATGAAAAACATAACCAACAATTCCGTACACTTTGCCATATGCTATGTATGGTGAGAAGTCGTACCAGTCTACCATCATCAATAAGAGCTGAGACAGTGGGCTGACAGTGCAGAGTGCGGAGTGGTGGAGCTGATAAAAGGGAAGGCGGAGAAGTGGAGGAGGCCTTACCCGAAGAATGAGACCAAACCCTAGAAGAGCAGTAACAGAAGAAGACAACACAACATATTATGGGTAATTGTGGTACTAGAGAGGAATCCGCTGTCGTCTCCACTGCTCACCGTCATGGTTCTTCCTCCCTCTCATTCTTTCTGTTCTTATAACTGTACCATTTTATTCGAAATTTTAAGCTCTCTTGATATCCTCTATTAAAGTATGGGCATCAAGGGCTATAATTTACTTTTGCTATCATCCAGATCTATTACACCCAGTCACCCCCACCTGTTGTTTTCTACTTGCATCCCTATTGATGAATGTTAGTTGACCACCCACATTCCGTAGGATTTTCTTGGGATTGTGACAATGCATATGTCATTTTCAAGTACTTATAATTGGCAATTGTCACAACTAATTTAATGTTTTTTAGTACTATCGGTGTCATATTATGATGCGTTGATTGAGATATTATTCAGGGGTGTCCAAGTTAGTGTTTTTTTGGTTTAAATGATTTGATATTTAATATTTGTTTCTTGAACCCGCAATCAGCGGGTACAGTTCAGCAGCCGCTTCAGGGGTTATCAGCTTCCAGCAGGAATGTTGGTGCTGAGAAGAAGCACATCCAAAGCCGTTCTACATCGGATCTGAGTGACCCTTTGACTCCACGCACCTTGGATGATTTTAGAAAGAATGCCGTCCTATATACCCATATCATTGCCTTCACCCTATTTGAGTTAGAGACCAGTACCAAGAGTTTCCGCTCCGACTACATTCTCGGTGAGGGTGGGTTTGGAACAGTCTATAAAGGATATATTGACGAGAATGTCCGGGTGGGACTCAAGTCTCTCCCTGTAGCTGTCAAAGTCCTCAACAAGGAGGGCCTTCAAGGTCACCGGGAATGGCTCACTGAGGTGAACTTTCTAGGACAACTTAGACATCCTAATTTAGTCAAGCTGATTGGATATTGCTGTGATGACGATCACCGATTGCTGGTTTATGAGTTCATGTTCAGAGGAAGCCTTGAGAACCATCTGTTCCGAAGTATGGATTCTCTTTTCTCTTTTCTTTGTATTTTTCTTTTTTCCTAAAAGTAATGTGCAGATATTTATTGGTGAAATTCCGTCAAATGTACGGATACCTTACTATACTCATGAAGCTTATGGATTTTGATCAAGGAATTTTGAGTTTTGCCTTTTGGTCTTGATTTAACTAGTTATTCTACTTAAGTGAAGTGTTTATTTTGATAATAACTAAACTTAATGTGGTACTTCTTGAGGCATTCAGAGGTAACTGTTCCACTATCTTGGTCAACAAGAATGATGATTGCTCTTGGAGCTGCAAAGGGGCTGGCATTTCTACATAATGCAGAAAGGCCTGTTATATATCGTGATTTCAAGACATCAAATATTTTATTGGATTCTGTAAGCTGGCACTTACCATGGAGACGGTTTTTCTATTACTTTCCATGTGGTTGTGCATTTCTACTTATAAATATAATGCACATGGTTTTGTACTACAGGATTACACTGCCAAACTTTCTGATTTCGGTCTTGCAAAAGCTGGGCCACAAGGTGACGAGACTCATGTATCAACTAGAGTAATGGGTACATATGGATATGCAGCTCCTGAATATGTGATGACGGGTACAGCCTTATAGCTTGAATTCACCACTTACAGATGTTCGTTAAATGAACATGCAGTATATTTTGAGTTAGTTCATCTTATCTTTTGTCATTAGTCATAGAAACTTCACTAATCCTACATCTTTGCAAATTGAACAACCAATAAGCCTAATGTTAGTATTTTCAATGTTTTAGTGCAATTGCTTGGATGATAGATCCTGCATATTTTCATGTTAGTATTTTATATATGTTGATGAATACAACTGGATTCATCATGCATAAATTGTGATCATTTTCGCCCTCAACTGATCACGCTCTGCAACCAGCCTATGTTTTGGTACCCTTTATCCAAACTCCACGTGAAAGAATTTCTGTGCATGTGTGTTTGGGAATTGAGGGGTGGATCTTAAAAAAACGGATTAATATGCGACTTGGGGTAAAATCTGAATATAGATTTATTCAAATCTTCAAAAAAAAACTTTGTTAACTCTTTAGTAACGTAATCAATTAATCCATAAAGTCTTGTTTCAAATCCTTAGTTTGTGCAGACACATATTATCTAATTTATGTTTAAGTATTCTGAACTATAGAATTGCTTGCTAGTAATATTGAAACTAACTTAATTTTCTTATATGGTAATGTCCTCAATCATTAACTCTCTGCAGAAACATTTTTATTCCTTTTTAATCTCTGTACACTGAAAGCAGATCCATGAATTGAACTAAATATCTAAATAGTGATGGGAAAGAATAAACCATGTGCCATTAACCTAATGAAAAAATTGAACTTTAAAGTTACCCATGTCCATAATTCTAAGTTTTCTATTTAAAATTCCTTGCACTTTTTTGCAATCTCAGAATTATTAGAATTCCCAACATGAGTCTTAATTAGAAGTATTCATATAAATTTCCTTGTGTTTTTCCCTTATGTTATGTGTTAGTTGTTTAAGAAGTGTGATTTCATATTTAGAATTCCTCTTGGCCCATTACACACTTTTGGCACGTCCTTGAAATACTTGTAAATTTGCACCTCCATTAAATATTACGAACCAATTGGTTGCTGTTTAGTTCCCTTCCAAGTGTGTGTAGTTGTCTCAAAAGGTCATATATGGCTTTGAATGTAGGACATCTTACTGCAAGGAGCGATGTTTACAGTTTTGGAGTGGTTCTTCTTGAGTTATTGACAGGGAGAAAATCTGTGGACAAGACCAGACCAAGCAGGGAGCAAAACCTGGTGGACTGGGCTCGACCAAAGCTAAACGACAAGCGAAAAATGCTGCAAATAATAGACCCAATATTAGAGAACCAGTACTCTGTGCGGGCAGCACAGAAAGCCTGCAGCTTGGCATACTACTGCTTGAGCCAAAATCCCAAAGCCAGGCCCTTAATGAGTGATGTGGTTGAAACTCTGGAGCCCCTGCAATGCACTGGTAGTGCAAATGAAGCCTCACCATTGGCATTGTCATCTACTGGCGTTGCATTCTCGGTAGGGAGGAGGGTGCCCGAGTTTCAATTGCATCACAGGTTTGCTGGTAATCTTGGCACTTCTGCCGTCTGCCGCTCCCCCAACCCAAGCTGTTCCCCGGGTGGCCTTGCACCACCACCATGTAGGGTAAGATGATTCGGGCATGTCTTTTTCAGTTTCTTGCTGCACTCATCCATTTAACTCCTATTTGGGTGCATTTATCTTTTCTGTGCCAGGTGTAAATTGTGCTGGTAATGTAAGTCTTTTATTAGCATCTGTGCTTGTGTTTCTTTAGTAGATTAATGTCGTGCTATGTGAAAAAAAAGAAGAAGCTATGCCAGCAGTTTTAGGGTTGATGCTGGAAAAAACTGCCATTGGGTTTTTATTTTTGTCTAATTTAAATGTTACAATGTAATGAATGGTCACTCTTACCCCTTTGATCCTCTCTATCCTGCAAGTTTTGACGGTAGGAGAAAAAGAACATGGGCATGTGACAGTACTTTTTTTAAAAACAAATATAATTTTTTGGGTTTCCCAAGGTATCTAAATTCCAAACAATGGAGAGTCACGAGACTCATCCCCGTTAAGCGGTCAGCCCACAAAGCAGTAAAGAGTTTGTCCACAGTTTTTCCTATTCACGGAGAATTGGTGTAGATTCTATTCATTTGTTTATTTTATTAATTGATCTCATTAATCTGCTTATGGCTCTATGGGATACCGACTTCTCCTTTATGTTGGGCAAAGAAGCTAAGGCTATATGTTATGGGGCTTCACCCATCGGCGTGATGGGCCATTCCTGCCTGGTCATGGTGTGACTGCCACGACAAACGGCTGGCATCTCATTGCCATCATGGGCGTGGCCCACCTTGTTTTGTTGCGGCTTCCCGCGTCCCAATGGATGAGCAACAGGAAAAATAGAGGCGATTTGTCTTGGATGGGTGGTGGTAGGAGTCTCCTCGGTAAGTCCACATCCTCAATTGCTAGTACATGACCTTCAAAGTCTTCAATGGTTTGACTTTTTGTTCGTTTCTCGATGATTACAGCATGGCCTTCCCTCGAGTCTTCGGTGTTGCTAATCAGAAGTTTGTCCCAACTCATTTGATTATAACTTTCCTTCGGGTAAGAATGGTCGTACCCGTCAAGTAGGGAGTCAAAGAAAGTTTCATCTAAATCTTTTGATTAGACTTTAGCAGTGATAGTTTCTATAGACGTAATGGTGGTGGGCTAAGGCTTCAGCAGGGTAGTTCTTTGTCTATAGATTCCTTGGAATCAAGGGGGTCGGTGGTGGGCTAAGATTTCTCCAGAACAAGTTCTTCTGGAGATGTGTCTTCAACACATGTTAAGAGGACAAGTTCCTCCAACATTTCTAGTGCATCTGGTGAAGGCGGTGCCGACACATGGTCCTCGGTGGGATCCAACTCTTGTACGACTTGACTTGGAGGGCTTTCAGGAAGCATCACCACTATACCTCGTGTAATCATTTCTACAAGTGTTATCTTGTTTTCAATATACGGTGGCGATGGAGTCTGTTGACATTTAAGAATCGAGACATGGTATGATTCTTTTTCAGGTTTCGTCTCAAATTTTTCGTCTCTTCACGAACATTTATTTTATCCCACTCTTCTTGTTGTTGATATTGAATCTAGAGAGTTTGTTGTTCCATAGCCTTCTTTAAGTCTTCCAGCATCGTTTCTATCTGCTCCAATTTGCTTTCAAACTTCAATTGCTTTTACTTTCTTCTTGGACTATTTTGAGAAGTCGTTCTCTTCCCTGGATTGCATCTTTTTTTGCTTCGATTTGCTCTTTGCAAGTTAGAGATTAATCACAACAATAGGGTTCTTCAAATATTGAACACTCCACCGCTACTGCAAGGTCAAGATTACGTATACTTTCCTCAGTCCACATAATTTCTTCTATTCGTGGATCTGGCTAGTCATCGTACATTGACCCTTGTTGGTCGTAATAATCTTGATCACCATGAGGTTCATAATAATCCTCACAGTTGTCTTGGTATGGAGAATATCCAAAGTTCCAAGACGCAGTATCGTATGGTGGTTCCTCGTGGTATAGATAATAATCAAGTCCATTATTGACCGAGTAGTCATCATAATAGAGATCGTAATGTGGATAGTAATTGGACAGTTGGGGGTGGTAATTGGACTTTTTGGAAAATGATGGTGGGTGGTTGGGTGGTAGGTAGATAGGAGGCGAATCATAGTAATCATCTCAAAAATTCATTTTTAATGATTACTATAGGTGGCTTGTGTAAAAGAGCTGAGAAGATTGACCTAACCAGTCTTCACCCGAGCTAATCAAAAAAATTAAACTAAAAAGGTGCCACTCTTTGGCAACAACGCCATTTGATAGTTGAGTTTTAACGGAAGTCAACCTTCCCAATGAAGGGTTAGTTTTCTCCGATTGTCGTGTCTTTTGAGGAGTGGACGAAGGGAATTAGCTAATTTTTCTAACTATGCGAAGGCTTGGACGAGTCTAGAAGTTGTCTTGATTTGATTTGAAAATAAAAATAAACTATTGGGCGCTTTCAAGCAAAAGAAAATAAATAGTACATGTATAAGACTAGACTTCGGGCCAAGGCATCATCCGGGTTAACTACTGTTGTCACATATTTAATCAATAATTGGAATAATAATATTTCTATCACAAATATTTCATTAACTTATCCTCTCTCAAGGTACCATTAATCTGTTCTAAAAAGTTTGTCTTAATTAATTTTATATATCCTCATAGACAAGGCAAAAACTAATTCCCAATACTTAATTAATTTTTCTCTCGACATAAATAATTAATTTAATAGTATACGCCCAAATTTAGCCAGGACCCTAATCCAGGCCCTAACCCATACTAAATATTAACTGTACATAAAATAAAAGAACATGTTATTAAAAGTTGTAAAAATAAACTACAAACGAGAGCAAAGTTGGGGCTACTTTGGGACAACTGTAACAAAACTAAACTAAAATATTAAAATATAACTGAGAACGGGAGCTAGAGAGGAGGTCCGTGCCTTAGAAGACCTGGATTAGTTGATTGGAAAATGGAGGGGTGAAACCTCCCTTTTATAGGACAAAATCAGCCCGGGCCACCAGCATGCCTAATCCTGGGGTCCAGGCGATTCCTGATGTCCATGCGGGGGCCTGGCTGAGGCCTGGGCTTGTCAGCTTGTTCGTTAGTAGGTGCGTAAGTCTAGGCGGGGGCCTGAGCTTGATTCTTAATTTTCCATGATTGAATTTGCGATACGCATTCCTCATAGGTCCAGGCATGTGACAGGCGTGGGCCAAAGGTCTAGGCGGGGGCCAATCCGGGGCCTGGACTTCTTTTTGCCCAAAACTTCATTTTCACCATTTTCTTCAATTCTTTTCACCTCAAAAATGTAACACCCAACCCACATAACCCGTACCCATGGGTTAGTGAAAAAAGTTTCCAGATGGTTTGGTATCCACATACCTAATATATACAAAACCCGCTTTGATAAAGAAAATCTTCACCAATTAAAACAGTCTAAACGGAGTAATAAATCAAAACATTGTGGAAGTCTTTGCAAAAAAAACATCTTAGAACATTCTTCTAAAGTAAGTGAATGATTTTAACAAAAATGTTAAATAGCTTTGAGGTATCCACTTCGCCAATTATCAGTTATCATCGGGCTGCTCATCCAATCCATGAATTCTACCTGTGTGCAGTACTCTATGTCATGCAAGTTGAGTGAGAATATATATAACTCTTAGCCGAAAGGTTAGTAGGAATATATATCTAATGCTCAAACACACTTAAAGAACATGTTGCAATCATACACGCTCACACAACATCATACAAGTAATTCATAATATCATGCAACAACATTATTATTAAAGAATCAACCTAGCATAACCATTTATCATTAACTTCAACCTAAGAAGACTAAGGCTAAATCAATCAACTAAGGTAATGACACATGAATGGAAGATACCAAGAGCCCAAGCTCAAACCTAATAAAGGTCTCCAAAGGGCGTGTTGAAGCCCCAACTAAGGCAAATATTGAGATAAGTCGCGGACTCCCTTACATACGTATCAAACCCTATGCCATTGAGTATGAACTCACGCCTCACATGGCTTTTATCCTATCTTAGTCCAATTAGTGATTCTAGATATTCAATTCAATTCAAATCCAGCTAGGTACACTAGGTGGTCTATTTCTTAACCACAATTCAGTATCATCACCAATAAGCTCCATAATCATCATATCATAAGTCATGCGTATTCAAATACGATCACACATTACCTCGAGCAACCAGGGGACCATGGATCCATTGATTATTATCATGCATCAAACATACCAAGTTTAGAGTGCCGTGAGATTCAAACTTTAATGGACACACTATCTAAGGTCACTTTCATTGTAGCCGCCTACTGATTAACGGCACTTGGGTACCACCCACAAGTAGTTGAGTACCGGAAGGTTGTAGAGGATTTTAGAGCCTTTCGGTCTTTTCTAGTAGCTCGGTACCGTTTTCCAGAATAGGTCTACAACCCAACAATACCTCTACTACCGTTGCCTGGTAGTAGGCTACTGCCTGACATGCTGGCCAGTTTTAGTCGTCTTCAATCTTCCTTCGGCAAACACTGGCGAGAGTTTTAGACATAAGTTCAATGTCATAGTGTCTAGAGTAAATCAAAATACACATATAAACAGGAATCAAGTCCTAAATCATCTTCCTACATAAAATTCACAAACATATAACTCAAGAATGGATTCCAACGAGTTCAATGATCATACCCTTACCATGTAATGATCTGGTAAAACAAATAGGAATGAAGAACTATCCTGTAAGCTAATTCTAAAACATTATTTATATGAACCTTGACTCAGCTTGATCAATTGATAATAAAAAATACGAATCAAGCTTACAATGATGAAGCTCTAGCATAGAAGCTTTTACGGTGTCGCTGCTACTCTTCTCCCTCCCGCTTGCTAGCTAGTTTGAAGAATGAAGAAGAAGACGATGAAGATGGATGGTGGCAATCAGCTATTCACATGAACGAAAGAATAGAGGTGTGTGTGCATGCGTGCGTGGGACGTATTATATATCTATATAAGCAAGTCTTCCCTTGTAGTGTGCCATTCTTGTTCAGGTCGGATGGGGACACACTCCCCTCAAAATGGCAGTCAGCGTCGTTATTGCCAATAGGAATTCTTTTACAAAATTAACCAACTACTAATAGGAAATTACAATTATCATATATGCACATAATATCATATTAGGATTACCTCCCAGACTCTTGACATCATAAAGTTGTGGATGCCCATTTTTAAAAAAGAAATCACCCTACGTAGAACTCTAAGTCACTCAATATTACGCATATAGCACTCATTAATCTTTTATACGAATTTAGCTATTTATAGTGTCAATATCTTTCAAGTTTGCCAATGTATAATGCAGTTTGCCAATGTATAATGCCTAAACAAGTTCGTACATATTAAATTGTGTTCCATATTTAACACCCATGTTTGGCCAGTGTGTTTTGGTGTAATAGATTATTCATGAAATCAGTCATACATTTTTTGGCACTGTGAAATTCATACATGAAAATACCGTGTGGAATTCATACATAAAAAGTGTTATACATTTTTTTGGCAGTGTGGAATTCATACATGAAAACAGGAATGCACTATTTGACAGTGTAGAATTTATACATGAAAACACTGCCACATAAATCAATGGACATTACACTCCAACATGCAATTAAGAACACAATAATACACTTACACACTGCCGTAAAATATAACAACATATATTCATTCTACAATGCCACATTAAATACTCACATATAAAAAAACCACACTGCCCACTACAAAGTTACAAGTGAACAACCACACTGTCCAAAACAGTTATATTTTTTGGCAGTCTGCAATGAATATTTGCTGTTTAATTAAAGACCAAAATCGAAATCACATGTACGAAACATATAGCACTGCTATTTAGAGTATTTTAAGGCTCTAAGAGTGCTATTTTGGTTTTTCTCCCTTTTTAAAATAGTTTGTTTAGCTCTTAGGCCAAAAATCATTTTTTAAACCATATGCTTTGAGAAAAAAATGTAACACCCAACCCACATAACCCATACTCATGGGTTAGCGAACCATGTTTCTAGACGATTTAGTATCCACATACCTAATATATATAAAACCCGCTTTGATAAAAAAAATCATCACCAACTAAAACATAGTCTAATTAGAGTAATAAATCAAAATTTTATGGAAGCCTTTCCAAACAACATCTTAAAACATACTT